GCCCACTGGGGTGCGGAAAGGGCCCTACACCTGCCCGTGGCCCTTCAAAACTTCTGATGCACCTCATGAGTCTCTCATGCAGGGTCCTTGTGCAGTCAAGCACTCCGTGTGTCGGACCCAAGAGATGTTGGCGCATTGACGCTTTTGACGGCTTGAGGCGGCTCAGCTGAAGCCGGCAAAGAACCCGAGCCCTCGCTTGATTTCACGCTCTCAGCGCGTGCGCTGCGTTGCGGGGCCGCCACAGCTCCGCGATGCTCCGCGTCCATTGGTGTTTTTGCCTGTCGCTGCGAATCGCAGTGTCGTGGCCTCCGCAATGCTAAGCAAAACTGGCGGAAGCCACAAAGGATGTGAATTCACCGGGGCGGTGGCAGCTTGCCGCTGAAGTGCCATCCGTTGCGCCGGCATGGCCGGCACAGTTGCCATGGCGTCTCAGTGTCGGCAAGACGGCATGGCCGGCATGGCAAGAAGCAGTTTGCCAGGTTGTGGCAAGCCTTCAGATTTCAATTCGCTCAACCCGAAACAGCTTAAACCCTAGGCATCCTGAACCCTGCCTCACAGCAGGCTACTGCTTTCCCCTGCGCAGTGCTTCACATCCACGCTTCTGTGCGTCGGTCAGCATGATGCAGTGGCGTAAGAGAATTGAAACAGCTGTTTGCAGATGCCCTTCGCTGCGCCACCTGAGTAACAAGAAGACTAAGAATCGTCATACTTGTAGGAATTGCAATGCTTGTAAAAACGGTCATTAGAGTCATAGCAGTAGCACCAGTCATGGTAATGGCCCAATGCCTGACTGCGCGCGTATGCTGAGGTGTCTCAGGAGCAGAGCCTCAACATGGGCCCGGTGCATCCCGCGAAGTCCACAGAGTTCGTGACAATGGCATACACTGCCAATGCCAGCTTGCCAAGCGTGCCAAGTGACACCTGCTGATTTCAGGATCGGCAATATAGGCAGTGGCACCGCGCACGGCACATGGCAGTGCAGTGCACACGGAGGTGCCACGGCGATGTTTGAGGAGATGGTGAGTCACGGACGACGGAGACCGGAAAGTCCGGAAAGTCCGCACAGCCTGTGTGCCTTGGTTGCTTGTTTGTATGCGCCGTCCCAGTGATGGAGCAAGATGAAGCTACCCGGTTTGCGCGGTTTGGCGCTGCGCTCCGTCAGGCAGACGACTGGCAGATTGCATCGCCAGCCGTCAACCAGATTCAGGCCATGGCATGCCGGCACCGCACTACAGCTAAGATAGTCTAGAAAATGCGTTTGCCCAAATTACGTGGTGATCCACGTGCGAAGTCCAAGGTCGATGTGCCCCAAGCAGGCGTTCCTCGTGTGTGCCTTTTTGGAATGCAGATCTCTTGTTGGAGGCCTTGCCTTCCGAGGGGCGCAGGTCAGTAGAAGAGCCCAGCCACCTGGCCGGAACGCGCGGTTCTGGGCACAGATGCTGTACGGGGCGCAAAAACACACAACTCACATAGAGACACCGCTTGTGCACTTTCCGCCTCGATGGTTTTAACCTGGAGGCATTCAGAGGGCGCGTGCCGTATTTGCCGAGCTTCCTCCCTCTGCCATCTGCAACTATTTGCAGGCCTCTGCCACGCATCCGTTCTATCTTGTTCCGCCCAGCTTCCAAAGCAGGAGTTCGCTTGCAGACCCGTAGGATGTCGTGGCCAGCTGTGAGTCTGGCGGCCGTACCGATGGCTTTGAGGCTTGAAAGAAGATGTGCGCCAGGATGACATTGATAAATTTGATAGCATGAAAGTGACTGGAAGTTGAAATTCTTGCATCTGTAGTTCCCCAAACAGAATTGCTTGGGGTTCTCTCCTCAGAAAAAAGGTGGGCCGCGGTGGCCGGATGGGTGGGCCGCGGCGACAGGGCTGGGCTCCCAATAGGCTCCATTCATGTTTCCTTGCTGGTCAGCCTCCCTTCATGTTTCTTTTCTGGGCTCCTGGGTTGGATGGCTGGGCGGTGAAGGGGCTGGGCTCCCAATGGGCTCTCTTCATGTTTCCTTTGTGGGCTCTTGGGTTGGAGTGGGCCGCGGCAAAGGGGCTGGGCTCGCATTGGGCTCCCTTCATGTTTCCTTTCGTGGCTCCTGGGTGGAATGGGTGGACCGGCAAAGGGGCTGGGTTCATAAATACGCACAATCCGCGGCCCATCCAGGTGCCAAAGCTGGTTTAGGGATGTCTTTTGCTGCTTCTTGCTTTCCTTGCAATTTTCTGGGGCCGCGGCAACAGGGCTGGACCTCTTCACTCGTGCTTTCTTGCTTTTGCTGCGTTCCTGTGTCGGCAAAGGGGCTAGGGTACAATTGGGCTCCGATTTGTATGAGAAGCCATGGGGTTTTAAGTTCCTGTCTAGCTGAGTCTAGCTTCCCTTGGCAGCACCGGAGTCGGATGAAAGCTTGTCTCAAAAAGGCACGATCCAAGTTGCAAAATATTGCCTAATGCCTAAACATCTTTTTCGCAGCATCTGCTGGCGAAGCCAGATTGAGTTCGAACACATTCCAACTTGAACCGATATGATTGGATGCATTCTGTTTGGGGCCTTCGCTGGTGTAATTGTATTTATCCCTATTATATTCAGGGGTCAGGAGGCAGGAATGCTGTTCAAGGCTAATAGCGTACGGCCTGTTGTGTGGTTGGTGGCCTGGGGTGTGAGGGATGAGGTTGAGGCCTTTCCGTCAGCCTCAGGATGACCTGTTGTCTCTTATGCTTTTCATGCTCGGCCTACAAGACCCCGCCTGAGGAGGCTGCGAGTACAAGCAGGGTCTGGGCATCTAGAGCGGTGCTGTTAGACGGGTGGCGATAGTGGCTTGGAACGATTGAGCTGAGGGTGCTAGGGGCCCTGGCAGGTTTCGGTCCGATGCTGAACAGGAAAGTGCAGCAGCAACTCTACCCTCCAATTGTAAATTCGATCAACTCACCGTGTTTGAAAAGAACAATGGTCTTTTGCTCGTGGCAAAACATCCCTTACCCCCCATCCCCCGTATCCCTCCTCAGTGCCCACGAAGTCTTTCGTTGCCCTCCAATCGATTGACAGCACCAACAGGCAGTAGTATGCAGTCCCAAAGTTGTGCTCTTGTCGCCCAGTCGCCCGGTAAAACCGTCCTGAGTTCAAGCCTGTCTCCGCTCTGCAGGTCTTGGCTGCTTTGCAGGCGACTGCGCAGACATCCAGGCGCGAGACGCGGAGCCGATTTGGGACGTGGAGAGTTTCTGGCTGTGCCCCCTGCACGATTATCTGCCTTCGCCCTGCAGGAAATGCGGCGTGGTCAAAGAGCCGCGCCCTTGGAAGCTGGTCACAGTTCCACTTCTTAAGCGGCTCACGGTTCTGCCGCATGCTTCCACCATGATGCTGTGATCTCGGCTCTGTTCGTCTTGCACGTAGAATCGTAGGGTGCTTCCCAGCGGCTAAACCCACGACACGCGAAGCAGCACCGTTTTGGACGTGCTGTTCAGTTGTTTGTTAAGGGAGAAGGGGAAACGAAGACGTAACGAGACATCACAAACATCAGCAACGACATCTTTTGATTTTCTGTGGTTCAGACTCCCTAGGGGAACCTGGCAGATTCAACTTGAAACAGTGCAAACACCTGCGGCCCACGCATTTTGGGCAACAAAAACAGGGCCGCGGTGCGCTGTGATGGCGATGGCGATCACATCTGCCCGACCGCAGATGCCCAGCACTTGGGCGCTGCGCTTCCGCCTCGTGCATAGCCAAGAGCAACGGCAGGTGGATGCTTGACCCTCCATGACATGTTCTTGGCCTTAAAGCCACAAGTGCCCATGTCTTGGCCACAAAAACACCACAACTCCTCGACATTTTGGAGCCCAAGGTGCTTGGCCGCGCTTTTGGGCGGCGCAACGTACGGCCACTGCCTGTCCCACTGGTGGTGAGCGTGGAGGAGAGCAGAAGTTCGGGGCCATGGTAAGTGGTTGGGATGCTTCTGGGGGCTCGCAGCTTGGGCTTCGGGTTTACAGTGTTTGAGGGAATGGTCGAGGATGGGTCACGCAACGCCACACATTGCTGAATCGCATCAGGTAGATGTAGAAGTCTGGCGCAGAAATTTGTTGCAGTGCAAAGTGCCTCCCACCAAGCAGTCTAAGCACTGCCCAATCCTCCAGAGCATATACGCCCAAGCTCGAGTTCGCCAGCGATGGGAAGTGTGAGGATGCGGCTCCTGGGGGCAAGCCTGCGATGACACGGCCAGACCCCCATCGAGACTGGTCTCATCGCTTCCCGCTCCCGAAGCCTCGGATGCTTGGTGCACGGTGGTGTTCGGAGTGCTTTGGGTGCTTAGGGGTCTTCGTCTAGGAATTTGCCCTTTTTGGGTTTGAAGCTTGAGAGGTCTAACGTGTTCGGGGTTTAGCTGCTTAGCTCTCCGACCACATGTTTCGCAGCAGGTTGACATGATGCCCCTGAAAGCCCATGCAGACAGGGGTTTCCGGCTTTTTCAGGTTCAAAAGTGGTGCGCGCACTCCATGTGCTTCCGTCGTGGGACTGGCTGCGTGCGAATGGCCAGGGCATCCATGCACGTGATGATAACGAAGAACGTCCATGTTACCAATGCTTGTGAAAGTCCAGAACATCGATGTCCGCACGATGGCAACGTCCATGTTACAACGTCCATGCATGCGAGAATGTCCATGTTGCACACCATCCGCTGGTTTCGTGAGTACGGCTAAGACTTGCATCGTCTGTTCGCAGCCTTTGAAGCCGATTTCCTTTGAAGTCACGGGGCTGGGCCTTTCAAGCCCAGCTTTTTCGAGCCTGAGAGAAAGGAACATGTGCTGTTTGAAAGTGGCTCTTGTATGTTGTGTCACTTCGGGTACGCCCTTGCCATGCACGCAAGTGATTTATCTCCTCACATGGTTGTTCTGCGTTCCCACCCAATTGGCCCAGGTGGTGCTTCGTCCTTTTAGCTTCCATAGGAATTCACGTAGATTCAATACCAAGCTACAACCCTGACTAGCGTGCTGGGCAATGCGCCCGTCAGACTCGCGACCTGCAGGAAAGGAGGCTACGACATGCGGATCAGCAGACCTAGTGGCGGCGCGGTGCCACGGTTGAACGCGTGGCTCGTCTCTGAAGTTTGAAGGTTTGACATTTTTTCTAATCCGTGTCAACGTTTCGTGTCGTGCAGAAACAGTGGGACATTCAGACTTCTTGTTCATATATCCTCCTGCCCAAAAGACCCTTTTGCCTCGCACTTAGGTTCTTATCCTGTCGAGATCCTCTAGACATTCTAGACACAACAAGATCAAACACCAGCCGTGTGCTCCAGGCTCCTGGTGCCCGGCGAGGGCTCCATCACCTCCCCGTACGACGACCCGAACAGTCCATTGCCCTTCGACCCCATCGAGCCCGACCAGGCCCCGAAGCCGTGGAAGGCCTGCGTCTGAGACTTGGTGGGGCTTGGCAGGCGAATGTCACTGAACGGAAGCAGTGAACAATCCGAATTTCGTCTGAAGACTGTCTTTTTGGAGCTTTGGCATCCATGCTGCGTGCCAATGCCCAATATTGTTGTTAACAAGATTCGCTCCGAAGCCTCAGTTTCTTGTCGTGTTTGTAGCCCTCTTGCATCCATGCTTCTGAATCTGAAAGCCACCAAGGAACATTCTGAAAAAGCAAAGGGCTTAGGACCCGGATGCCCTTTCCCGGGGCTCCGAGTTCCAACGTCTAAAACGTCTAAAGCCCCTAAGCCCCCAACCGTGCTTGAGCCATGAACAAGGCAACACCTCTGCAGTGTGTGTTTAGGTGCAAGCTCGAGACTTCCCGGGCCTCAAGTCCCTCCACCTAGCGAATAAAAGAACCCCAGAACGTGCGCCTTCTCCTGCTGATGCATCTGCCTCGGTCTGCCCTTTGCCCTGTTCCTTCCCTCCTCCACATGTGTTGCATACACGCGGCATGATTCAAGAAGTTTCTTTCACGTTGCGGTGGTCGACTGGGATGTGAGGTTCAAGGTTCTACTTTTGGTTCAGGACGTGCTTTGTTGCTTCAGACAAGAGTGGCAAGACCCGCAACAGACGGTTTTGCTCAGCAAGGGGCCAGGACTGGATGTAAACCTTTGGTCCATTGACCTCACGGCCGCCCAAACAGTCTTCCCCAAACCTAAGCTACAAACCTGCAGGTGCTTCGCAGCCACAACGGCAACTTGCCCGTGCACCTTGGCTGTTGGTGTCGAGGCAGTGTCGAGGCATTGGGGCAACAGGCTGAAGCTCTGCAGCACAATTTGCAGGACACTTTCGATACAGTCCCAGAAAAAGTTGCTGAATTGCAGCATCACGACGTGAAGTCCGCCAAGTGAGGGGAGGGTTCTCACCATGCGTGATAATCAGCGGATGATAAGATAGCGGGTCGTGGATGCCACCGCTAGCGGCTTCGGGGGCAAGGCTGAGGGCAGAGCTTTGATCCTGGACGTTTCGGGTTAAAGTGACTGGGTTAGCGTGACTGTTGTGGAAGAAGAGCCAAGGCATTGAAAACTTGCAACAGGCGTTTCTTCGGTCTATCCCAAGGTTCCTGAACAGCGAACATGAAGCTTGTTCTGGAATTCACAGGTACAGCCGATACTTGAAAGCAGGCAGTGAGGCAGGGGCCTGCACAGTACCTTTCAGCAGAAAAGGTTCAAGTTCCCTTGGACGGTTTTAAGATTCACTTTGGGCTTGCCGAGCTCGCTGACAGCTTGGTCAGGGGATGCGGCCATAGGGATTGAAAGCAAAGTTTCATTTCCGTTTGCGTCCTCTTCAAGCTTCTGGTATTTGAGGATGAGCGAGTGCTTTCAATTTGGGGCTCACGAACAACAGAAGGCCCGGTTCCGATCCTTTGTAGATGTGGACAGGTGAACACCGTGGTGCGGCATTTCTTCGGGGACATTGAAGCCATGCGCAAGGAGCTGATGCAGGCCCTGGGAAGGGAAGCGTCATATGGGGTTTTTGAGGCCGAGTAGCAGCTGGTAGAGAGACCAGCTGGAACTCCACGGTCATTTCGTGTAGGTTCAGCACACAGTTTCAAGGTCAGAGAGGACACTGGAACTGCCCACATCTGGTTTCGTTGGCGCACTCCGGGGAATCCCAAAGGCAAACCAATGCGTTTGCCGGCTGTTCACGCAAGTGCAATGTATGAACCGTGCAAATGCATTTTACCTACCGTCACTAGTGCATGTGGAGCAGCTCAAAACAACCTTTTCTCCCACATGCGAACATTCTCAATTTTTCGCTGCCTGGGGTGAGGTTTGTGAAGCTCCGGTGCGGGTGCGCGCTGGCACTTTCGAAGTTCGTGGCCGGCATAAGTGGACACTTGGCTTGTGTGGGATTTGCACTAGGTTTTGGATGCCAGGTCCTCAGGGCAAATTTGGACGAAATGTACTCCCTGCAGTGGCCAGACTGCCAGTGTAACCAAAGACAGACAGTCACCGCAGTTGGGCACATGCCTTGTTTGATTCAAAGCCGTGCAGTACATGTGATCTCTCAACCTCGGGCGCTTCGACGCTTGCCTGGGCGTATTGTATTGCTCGCCGCCTGCCGAAATCACTGCAGGTCTGGCCGATGAGATTCGGTGAGTTTGCAATGTTCATATCTCAGCTGTAGAAAGCCATGTGAGGAAGATCATCGAGTGGCTGGTGTGCCTCAGTCGCATTTTCATGTCGTGGGCGAACAAATAGCCTTTGCTATGAGGTGATGAAGCCGCCCACCATAGCATGCCCGTCCTTTGCTTTCAAAGCCGAGGTCACTTGGAATGTGATGGTTTGGTCGCGCGAAGAAAAAGTGTCGCCAGTATTGCCCGTGCAGCTTTTGGAATTCTGGCGCTTGGGTTCTTGGCGCACCCGAAGGCCCCTAGCAGAATATGAAGTGTGACTTCTCCTCCTCTTCAACAAAATGCCCATGTCCATAGCTTGGGAAAACTGCTTCAAGTGTCGCCCATGCGAACCTTGTAGCCATACACCCGCTCTGGAAGCTTCCCTTTCGAGCCTCGCGAGATTTTTCTGCGCCCTCAAGGTGCTGATCGCCGCGTTGATGGCGTAGAGGCGTGGAGTGGCAGAAATCTCAGGAGTCTCTTTGGCTCAAAAGGCTCAATGTGCTGATACCTGCGACCTTGGGTGAAGTCATTCATTCCCGTGTGACGCAGTTGTCCGAGTTTATAGCTTCGCACGCTTCTTTGCACTCAACAGCCCTTCCTCCTGAAGTCTTAGCTGCGCCAAGAACCCAATTTATGATAATCGTACCGAAGTTCCAGTAGCAGTTAAACTTGACTTTAGCGACGTAGGTCCAAGCTGGCCCAAAGCTGGCCCGCAATGCCCGTCGGGCATTTCACCAGAATGCAGTTTGATCCACAGGGCAGAAAAGTGCTCAGAGGTTTGTTAGGGATGATCCCCCAACGCCCCGTTGTGCAGCGCTGTCGCAGTGGCAATCCAGGTGGGGTCATAGCGTCGGCGGTGTCCAAGTATCAGGTGTTATGGTTTGAGGATGTAGGCTTCATTGTTGCCTCCTCCTGCGTCGGCTCCTTGCTTGAAACCCTAACTCAGCCTAAGCCCCAAGCCCTAAGCCCTGCCCTAGACCCCCCAAACAAAAAACAACATCAGGAGGAAAATGTAAAAAAAGGTGCAGCAAGAGTTCAACATCACCACCCAAGCCTTGGCAGTTTCATCCTCAGTTTCATCCTTCGCGGATTTTGGGGCTGAGGATTTTAGGGAGAGTTGCCAGTGCCAATCAGCTGTCTGCAGCAGCCATTTCTATGCTGGGAAAAGGGTGCCACCTCTAGAACCCAATCTTACCAGGAGCCCCGCACCAAACTGTTGATCCCTTTTTGCCTGAAACCCGTGGAGCTCAACCTATAGACTCCAAGCCAGCATCGAACACCTGGAGCACCTCGAACACTTCGAACCTCGAACCCTGAGAGCTTCTGAGGCCAGATCCTGAAAGCCCGACTTCTAACAAGCCAGCAGTGGCTTAGAACCCTTCTGAGTTTTAAACAAGCGAAAGCTGACACCAACACGATGGCCTCCCCCGGCCTGCATCGGCCTGGTGTCCTTGCACGTGCTCCTGGGCATCTTAAAGTTCCTTCGGACCCCTTGTGGCAAAAAGCTTCAACGAAGCAGCTTTAAAGACTTTCTGGTTTAGCTCGAGTTTCGGGGGTGCATCAATGCCTCGGATGCCGGCTTTTAGGGCAAATCCTTGCGGACGGGGCTGGATGTTGTGTTCAGTGTTGAAGATGCTGTTTGATTGTCTCTTGAGGCTGGGGACTTGAGAATATTGGGTCAGCCCAAGGCCGAAAAGCCCCACAGGACCCCACATGCCAGATGTAGCCAGGGCTGCGGCTCCACCAAACCCGCACAACACACCAAAGTTCTGGCCCACCGCCATCCCCAATCCTAGAGACTGCACTCTGAATCCTAGACCCTGAACTCCTAAAATTTCCTCGACCCTTCACACCCCACCTCGCCTCCCAGCCTCGCCCCCTCACGAGGTCTCTGGCCTGGAGGCGACGCCGGCACTGAATGGCGAGGCAGGTCGGATTCTGGAGGTTAGGGTCTAGGGCCCCAGCTGTTTTGCGCCGAAGCCACAGCCTCTAGCCCCAAAACTTTTGGGACTGAGCTTTCCTTTTGGGAAGAGTTTTTTCGGTGATGTGAGAAGTTGAGCTCCGGCATTGTGATTGATAGTTATGCGTGTGGGCGCAGCTGATAAGCCAAGATTTTGGTGTTTCGATGTAAGGCGAGCAGGTCTTGTTAAAACAGGGATGCCGTTTTCAACTTCAGGCCCCGAGTCCTTATCGCCCTTATTCCTTCATGTCCTTCTAAGCCCTACTTACAAGAACCAGTAGAGCCAAAGCTTGCCCCCAGATTCAGCTGTGAACGGCTGTGAACAGTCCGTTGTTTCATCGGGGGCAACCAAACCGAGGGTTTTTGTTGTCGAAGCTCTGGAAAGCTATGGCCAAACAGTCACATCTGATCGCTTTGTTGCAAAGCCCTAGAATTCCCAGCGCAAACAAGTCATAGCCATTGCCGGTATTTCCCCAGAACATATTGAAGCCTTGACCGATTGCACCCGTAAACGTGAGAGGTCGGAAAGCTGTTGCGGCTCACAGAGGAGCACTTGGTTTAGTGCTTCCCGTGGTTTCGGGTGGATAGTGTTGAATTCATATGGTGCTCGGAATTAGGGTAGGGGTTTCTATTTGGGTTTCTATTTCTAATTCAGTTTCTGATGCAATCAGTCGAAGTCCCAGCAAGAGCCGTCGGCTCAGGTTCCGAAAGTAACCGCCCGTTACGACGCCCATGGGAGCCATAGCACAGGTCAGGAAAACATGCTTTGCCTAATGAAGCGTCGTAGCAAGACACGGCGAGAACATAAACCAGTCACAGTTCTTTTCCAGCTCTTCGCCCAACGAGCCGCTGCAA